TTAATAACGCTGGTAATTTAACAGTGACTAATCAAAATGACAATGCTATTCCATTTTAAATAATATTCTTTTTTAAATAAAAATTATTTTTAATAACGCTGGTAATTTAACAGTGATTAATCAAAATGGCAATGCTATTCCATTTCCAATAATATTATTTTATTAAATAACAATTATTTTTAATAACGCTGGTAATTTAACAGTGACTAATCAAAATGACAATGCTATTCCATTTCAAATAATATTCTTTTTTAGATAAAAATTATTTTTAATAACGCTGGTAATTTAACAGTGACTAATCAAAATGACAATGCTATTCCATTTCAAATAATATTCTTTTTTAGATAAAAATTATTTTTAATAACGCTGGTAATTTAACAGTGACTAATCAAAATGACAATGCTATTCCGTTTCAAATAATATTCTTTTTTAGATAAAAATTATTTTTAATAACGCTGGTAATTTAACAGTGACTAATCAAAATGACAATGCTATTCCATTTCAAATAATATTCTTTTTTAGATAAAAATTATTTTTAATAACGCTGGTAATTTAACAGTGACTAATCAAAATGACAATGCTATTCCATTTCAAATAATATTCTTTTTTAGATAAAAATTATTTTTAATAACGCTGGTAATTTAACAGTGACTAATCAAAATGACAATGCTATTCCGTTTCAAATAATATTCTTTTTTAGATAAAAATTATTTTTAATAACGCTGGTAATTTAACAGTGACTAATCAAAATGACAATGCTATTCCATTTCAAATAATATTCTTTTTTAGATAAAAATTATTTTTAATAACGCTGGTAATTTAACAGTGACTAATCAAAATGACAATGCTATTCCGTTTCAAATAATATTCTTTTTTAGATAAAAATTATTTTTAATAACGCTGGTAATTTAACAGTGACTAATCAAAATGACAATGCTATTCCATTTCAAATAATATTCTTTTTTAGATAAAAATTATTTTTAATAACGCTGGTAATTTAACAGTGACTAATCAAAATGACAATGCTATTCCGTTTCAAATAATATTCTTTTTTAGATAAAAATTATTTTTAATAACGCTGGTAATTTAACAGTGACTAATCAAAATGACAATGCTATTCCGTTTCAAATAATATTCTTTTTTAGATAAAAATTATTTTTAATAACGCTGGTAATTTAACAGTGACTAATCAAAATGACAATGCTATTCCGTTTCAAATAATATTCTTTTTTAGATAAAAATTATTTTTAATAACGCTGGTAATTTAACAGTGACTAATCAAAATGACAATGCTATTCCATTTCAAATAATATTCCTTTTTTAAATAAAAATTATTTTTAATAACGCTGGTAATTTAACAGTGACTAATCAAAATGGTAATGCTAATTTTACGCGGAAAAATGTATCAATTGCTGCCCCTAATGCGCATATTTTTTTTTACTTCATTCTTGACAAAAATTCTAAAAATATACATTGAATGTAACGAAGTACCTTTGGTGTGCATGTAAATACAAGGCATTTCGTAATTGCTACCATTAATATGCATTTTTTATAATCCTTTTTTCAAAAAAAAAATTTAATTAAAAATTATACACATTAATATTTAAGAAGCCACTGTGATTCAGGGATTATGGCACTTGCCTACCAGTGAGATAATCTAAGGTTTGAATTCCAACAATGTTTTTATAACCGTCGTTGAACAGTCTACCCGATTTTGGGTTTACGACTACTAAAGTTCAACTCCGTAGACCCACTCCAAAGACAAGGGAACTCCTGGATCAAGTAGGGGGAGAAATTTGCCTTCGTGGAGGACTATTTGATGGAACTAACCAGCATTTGCGTTACATGGAGAGGGAAACCACGAAAACTCTTACGGTTAGCTTCACGGCAATGGGACTCTAACCCATGATCCGTCTACCACTGAGGATATTTTACGTAAGTACTGTGGTCAGTGCAAGCCGGGTGCGGAATTCGAATCGACCAGTCATAGCTGGGATTCGAACCCGGTTCACCTCACTGGAAGGCGAACGCTCTGTCCCCTGAGCCACCAGGACTCTTCTAAGCTAATTGGTCGATACGAATTCTGCTCTCGGTTCTGACGTAAAATATCCTCAGTGGTCATAGACGCGTCGCATGTTAGAGTTCATGTGCCGTCCGCCTAACTATGAGAGATTTCTGAGCTCTTCCTATCCATTTACCTCAAATGCGAACTAAATGAAAAAGTCATTCACTAAGGCTTGTTTGTCTCTATGTTCGATCCAAGAGATCCCTTTTCGTATGGATTGAGTTCAATATTAGTAAGGGAGTTGAAAATTGAAAATAAACTCAAAAATGGGTCAGCTGCTCAACGACGCTTATAAAATAAAATTAATATTTAAGCTAGAAATTTTGCCAAACTACTTGCAGGCTTTTGTAACAGTAATTCAAAAGCCTTCTAACTCCTGACTGTTTCCTTCGGCAATCAAATAGGTTTTAGTTTCTTCAATCCTCCTTTCTTCAATAGTTTGATTCGATTACGTTATTGTTTTTGCTTCTCGCTGAAATATTAATATGCGATCTATCCTGTGAGCACTACATTTGCATTTTTACTACATTTTTGATTAAAAAATTTTTTTTTTAAATTTAAAGTGACCTACAAAAAGTCTTGCACTGATCCTCAACTTTAAACTGGCTGACCCTGACTTCATGCGATACCTAAATTGAAAGATAAAAAAACAGTTTCGAAAGTATATATTAATATGTTAAAAAGAAATCAATATTTTTCTTATAATATCTTTAAAACTTGTGGTAATTTACCTAAAAAACAATGATTTATTTAAATTTTAGTATATGTCTAATTCTGGCACATTCATAACACTAATTCTCACACTTTCATTCTTCTATATACGCCCATAAATATTTATAGAAAATTTTCTAAATATTTAATTTTGTCTAGAAAACACAACATCAAAACAAAAGAAAGGAGGTGCAAAATTTCTTAATTATGAAATTATGTTTTGAGTCATACGTGTAATACGACATAGTACAAATTTTTAAGTTTGCATTTCTTTGTCAAGTTTTGTTTTGGGAGCTTGAACTAAAAGCTTTTGAACAATTTAAAATTCCATTTGATAATTCAATATTTTATGCAAATAATAGTTAGAAAAAAGTTTTTTTTTTAAAATTTAATTGAAAAAAGTCTATTTTTTAAAATATCTTAAGCCACTTTTCGTCGATGTTTTGGGTATTTATTTGTAAGTTACAATGCAAAAACCATAGCCCTCAAGAGAAATTTTGAAGGTGTGTAAAAAATAAAAATGTACATTAAGTTCGATGGGACAAAAATTTTTTTATATTTGTTGATTAGTTTGAGATTTATTAATTTTTAAACTTGTAATAAAAATACCACGCATGAATTTAGTCAATTTTTAATTTATTTAATAATTAGTTTGTATTAATTTTAAAAAACTAATATTGAAATTTTTTTTTAAATATTAACATTTGTAAAGTTGTTGGTGTTCAAGAATTTTTAACAATTTAAAAATGAACTTTTGAAGATCAGAATTAAAAATTTTTGATTGTTTAAAAAAAATTCAAAATTCTTTTAATCAATATGTTTTTAACGCTTGCCAGTTCATCGACTATCTCCATACTTGTTTTTAACATTTTTTAATTAGAAAATAATTGTAACATCTGCGTAACTAATTAATGGTAATTTTGGCTACGTAATTTTCTTCCAACGGCAGAATACAGAAATGGAACACATATATAATAGCTATATGCCTAATGTTATATCTTATGCCAAGCTAAAAAAATAACATTTCTTTTCGAAATGTTAAGTGAAAAGACTACAGAAATGAATGAAATAAAAATAATAATTTCAAATTGACAAAGAAGCTGAAGTTAAATGTAGTAAATCGAAAACAACGATTAAGCGATACTCATGCAAATTATGATAAAATCAGCTAATGAGATTCGTCTATTCAATTAATAGAGGAGGCTCCTAAGTCTTGAAAAAACAAAAAACATAAATATTGTTGTTGTTGTTGTTGTTAATTTACGTCGCACTAGAGCTGCACAAAGGGCTATTGGCGACGGTCTGGGAAACACCCCGAAGGATGATCCGAAGACATGCTATCACAATTTTGATCCTATGCGTAGGGGATGGCACCCCCGCTTCGGTAGCCCGACGACCTGCGCGCGAAGTCGAGCACTTTACGGTAGCACAGTTTAACGAGGACCAATACCGCTCACCCTCGGTCCCTACGCAGACTGATCCAAGTGGTCACCCACCCGCACACTGACCGCAGCCAGTGATGCTTGACTTCGGTGATCTGCTGGGAACCGTGTCTTAACGATCAGTCCACTACGGGACCATAAATATTACAATGGATGGTGTTTTCAATGTAAATGTAAATAAGAACAATCTCGAGCTCAATACCTGCTCTAGTTCCGGTTAGAAAGTTTGCAACTACTTACTACAGCTTATTCTGCAAGGTGATATTTTTTTACTGATATTTTTTTTTTCAATAAAAAAAGTAAATTAGATAATTTCTGAGTTCAAATCTACTGTATTTCATCAGATATTAATGCTATTAAGTAATCCTGGTGAGTTTGAAGTGAAAATTTGCTTTAGTTATTTATAGATATATATTGTTAAAAAGGGTGACATGGTTGCTAGATTTTGAATAACTCGCTTTTTTGGCAGTTCTGATTTGGCCTCTTTCCATTTGTTTCTTAATGTTTGTTCTAGTTTTAAGCTGTGCATCATCTTACGTTAGTGTTAGCACCCTTAGCATTGTAAGCACAAGTATTGTAAACACAAGTAATAAGTAATCAAATACCAAGTTTGCAAGAATCTCAGAACTCAATGATCACGTTGTGAGCCAATTGACTTTAAAATACATTGGAAACACAGTCACCTGGAAGCATAGGCCGTATGGAGATTACAGCGTTCCCTGGTGTAGAAAACACTATCCATGGAGTTGTTTTTTCTCTAATTTTGATGCCCGTGGTTTGACAGAAACAAATAGTCGGAAACGTTACATAATTACTCAATGGGGAATCAAAACAGTTCAAAATAAAAGTAAACATTGCAGCAAGTTTGAAAGTTTGTTTCTTCGGCCACAATATGATAATTTGGGTGGTTTCCCTTTCAATATTCTGTATGTTACTCTTATCTATCTGTAAAAATTTTATAACAAATCATTTTTACCGTCATAAACATTAAATTAATGTGTAAACATACTCTGATCTAAAAATATATGTTAAAATAAATGAACTAATTATTGAAATAGAAATTATAGTTTTAAGCAAAAGAAAAAAAAATATCACTTTAAATTTATATTTTCTTTCTTTGAACATAGTATAATATAAAATAACTGAATCAGTCTGCGGTTATAAAGTATGAAGCAGCCTTTTTTACTTTTAATATCAATTGAAAGTTTTCGTTTGTGTCTGAGATGACAACATTGATAACTTTATATAAATGTTAACTCAAGAAGATTTTAAAAGATAGCTTTCCTTAGAATTTATTTTGTTATTTATAAAATCGCTGCATAATATTGAAATGTTCTTTAGTTTCTTTTAAATTATTTCTTCAGAATTGTCTTTATATTTGTCATTGCCCAAACAATATTAAAATGGAATGTTGTATATTTCAGGTTTAACTGATTTGATTTTGCTAACAGAGTGCTCGAAAAATCATCCTGCAAATGAATTGACAATAGGTAATAATCTATTCCATAATCACAAACCTCCAGTAATAACATTTTTATGGGATGATTTTAGTCATAAACTGGATTGATTTTTCCATATTAAAAGTTTAGAATAATTTTAATTGCTTTATAAATAAACTAATACTAATTCTATGGTAAGAAAATAAAATTTGAAAGGAAAAAAAACAAAATTATAAAATTTGTTATTTAAAAATAGTTAATTACATGTAAAAAGAAAAAACAATTTTAGATAATTGTTTTATTTAATAATGATCAAAAATTTATGAAGTGTAAACTATAAAAATTTTTATATATTTTTAACTATGTAGTTTTAAATGACAAAATAAAAATAAAATTATGAAATCTTTTAAACAAACTAGTTTAGGAAAAGTTTTGTTTCAGTTTGATCAGATCAAGTTAGATTAGTTTTGTTCAGTTGTTTTAGTTAGGAGTTTTGTTTAATAAAATTGTCTTATTTGTCTTAGCTTTTTTTATAAGTTTATTAAGCGAATTAAAATTTTAAGAAACTTTGAATAAGTAAATTAAAATTTTTTAGAAATGTTCATAATATTTGTTTAGACATCTTTCAATTAATTATAAGTAACTTTAGCTGAGAAAACTAAGTTATTAACAACATAGATAGTGCTTATTATTATGCTGTGCTATAAGGAGCATTTAAACTAGTGACAATTTAAAAATGATTTTGCATGTATTAAGGTTATCCTGGAACTTCTGCCTAGATTTTACTTCTCCCATGTTAGCCTATGGAAAATTATTTGTCTACCAATTCATTCATTATTTCTCATGAATTAATATTTTTTTGTAATGCTTTAAGTTTTTTATGTCTTGCCATTCTCAATAAAAAATATTATTGTAGCTTTGAAAATTTTTTTTTGTTTAAAACCTTAAGAATGAAAATTTGGGAACTAGTTCCAAAATATCCATTTTAATGAATAAAATAAAAACAAAAAAAAAGTCCTTAATCAGGGGTCTGTCCAGGTCAAATTTACTACCGTTTAGCGGTACCTTCACAAATTCAACTTTGGGAAAAACGGTAGTTTCACAAAACTTTTTCTTAAAGTTTTATTTTTGTATCCCATAAGATATGATAAATCCATATTTGTACCATGTTTTTGTGTTGATTTTTTAATATAATTTATAATTTTCACAAATTATGTCGAAATTTTCACGAAATAGGTACCTCTCAGAAAAACCTAGACAGACCCCTGTTAATACAGTCGGTGATCGGTTAACGAACATATCGGTTAATGAACACTTTCACGAAAGATTTTTGTGTTCGGATAACGAACACTTTCAAGAAAGATTTTTTGTGTTCGGACAACGAACACATATTCGGATAATGAACAAAACGAATTCTAACGAACACTTCTCGGCCTGAAAAAAAGTATTATTAAGCGTTTGTTATCATTTTGAATACAAAATAAGATCACTGAAAGGAGAAATGTTTAAAGCATGTTTAGTATTGATAATTACTAAATGAAACTTGAATTAACAATGAATTTAAATTTAAAGGTCATTCAATAATTATTATTATAAAGCTTGAAACACTTCTCATTTACCACTCTGAGAATCCCAGAGCATTAAAAAAAATTCTATAATTAAGAACAAACTGCCAGTAATGTGGAGATCGAATCAGAGGGCATGGGTCTTGCAGTATCTTTTCAAAGAATGGCTATTTGAAGTTTGTGCTCCGAGCATCAAGGACTACCTTGATACCAATGACTTGCTGTTGAAAGCACTGCTGCTATTGAACAATGCACCAGGACATCCAAAGGATCTTGAAGATAATTTGTTGACAGACTTTCCGTGGCTGACAGTTCAGTTTTTACCTCCGAATACGACTTCGCTGATTCAGCCGATGGATCAGGAAGTTATTGCGGCTTTCAAGAAATTGTACACTCGCGCGCTGTTTCGTCGGTGTTTTGAAGCAAGCCAATTCTCCTCAACAGTGACTTCAAAAAACTTTTGGAAATAAAAATTTGACATTCTTGAAGCTATTCGTATCATTCAAAAGGCGTGGTCAGAAGTCACACAGCGACAGTTGATTTCTGCTTGGCGGAAGCTGTGTCCATCCTTCGTTCAAGGTGACAGAGGTGATCAGGGAGACACCCCTGAAATTTTGACAACTGCTGGAGATCTGGAATTGGAGGTGAATGAGGATGACATAGAAGAGCTCATAATGGGACATGAAGATTAACTGACGACAGAAGAACTCCAAGAAATTTTGAATAAAGAACACCAAGAAACACAGCGAAATGTGTCTCCTTCCGAACAAAAGGAAGACGAAAGAGGATACCAATGCCGACATCTGCCGTTAAAGATCTTTTGAAAAAGTGGGAAAATATCAGAGCAATGGTCTTAGAATGGCACCCAAACTAAGCTGATGTCAGTAGGGTTGGGGATTTTTACAATGACAACGCTATTAATTACTTCCGGAAAATCCTGAAAAAGAGAGAAAAGCAATCGACATTGGACGTGTTCTTCAATGCTCCATAAGCAGGAAATGAAAAGGACTGATTAATATGCAAGACTATATGTATGTATTATTTTTTTAAAAACTTAATAAGAAATTATAAATTTTTTTAAATTTAATTTTTAGGGTCTCCAGAACGAATTAATCGATTTCACATAGAAGTCTATGGTGAATCGATGATCGGTTAACGAACAATTCGGATAGCGAACATAGTCTTGGAACGGATTATGTTCGTTAACCGATCACCCACTGTACTAGTTAATGACTGTTTATCATTTCACTACTGAAGTTTAACATTATTCGAAGAAAAAAAATTGATTTTTTTTTCTTCTTTTTATTATTTTACAAAAAATTATTGTAAAGTAAGTAATTAGTAAAGTAGTTATAGTAAATTCATTTTTAACTTGTTTAAAAACGTGAAATTTCTGTATCTTTAATAATAGCATTTTGATGGTGACTTGCAAATTTGTTATAATAGCAGACTTCTCGACTTGCATATTTGTTGTAAATAGGACTTTTCAGAATATGCGGTATTCATAATATCAAGCTTTTAATCTGTTTAATTGTATTATAGTAAGTTCAAAATACAAAGTTGTTAGTTTCTTTTTAGTAGCCTTGTTTTAACTTTTTATTTTTTATAGGAATAATTATAAGAAGTCAGTCTAATCCTCACCACAATGCATTGGCTGATTTTAAAAAGAAATATATTCTCAAGCAAGCTGAAAAAATTCCAAACGATGTTAGTATTTTACGTTTTATGACCGATTTTTAAAGAAATTTTTTATGTTCATAACCTACTTTTCAAAGAAATATATTTATTTTTATGACCTATTTTTAAAGAAATATTTTTATATTCATTACCTACTTTTCAAAGAAATATATTTATTTTTATGACCTATTTTTCAGAGAAATATTTTTACTTTACAACTCAACATTATGTATTGGTTTTGCAGATAAAAATTCGTGTCTTTAAAACTCATCAAGATTTTTTGAATGCTCCAGGGCATTGGACCATTTTGCCATTATTTAAAAAGTAAGTTTCTTTTTATATTGTTAAATTTTTTTTCATAATTTTTTACATAAATACAGATTTTTAAATTTTTTTTTAAGTGTAGGGTCAGGTTAGGTAAAGTGGATACATGGAGTTTGGTGCACAAGTTTCTGTCTTCATATAGCAATTTTTTCTTGGAAAAAAAAAACAATTTCCTTAAAATAATTAAATTGAAAAAAAAAACATGACTGCTATAAGTACAATTATAACACAATAAAATAGCACTATAGATATTAATTTTAAACTCTGATTTATATTTCAAATATACCTAAAACTATAACACTTTTCTTGCTCTTTAATGAAGATTTGTTGATTTCAGAAAAATGTACTGCATCCTAAACCTAATGATGAAAACCTAAGTGAAACCTAATTTTATTAGCCATTAACATTAATTCTTTAATTTAATAATATAAAAAAGCATTTTTTGGCATTTGTTTCTTAAATATAATAAAAATGCTTTTATTTAAAAGCATTTTTATTTCTAAAACAATACTTATATAAATTTTTTAATGAAATATACACTGGTATAGTGGGTATATCAAAACATGTTCTTTTGAATGCATTACTGTAAGTATATAATCAAATGAAATAGATAAGTTATACTTCATAGTTGATCTATATGGATGCAATATATATAAGATGCATAAAAAATTTTGGTAATATAAATTTAAAGTTTTGACTTTAGAGCCTGCTTTAAAAATAAAAAAAAATAAAAAAACTGGATTTTATACTTACTTTAGCGCACTCGACCCTAATTGTATGACTGTCTTAAAAATATCTGAACTTTTTTTTTTCATTATTTATGTCTTTCATTTCTCAAGTTTCATTTTTCAATTTATCTTTTTAAAATATTTTAACACTATTATTATTGAAATAAAAATTACATGTTTTATTACCTAAAATTGCAATAAGTCTTATAAGATAAGTTCTGAACTTAGTACTTAATGTTTTTTCTCAAAAAAAAAAACTCAATCAAATCAGCAAAATTTTCCTTAATTTTAATGAATCTTTTTGTAACCAGAGTTTTATTTTAATTGAATGTTTTAATTTTATAAACTTTATAATTATGCTATGAATTTCAATTTATAAACCATTTATATTTATAAACTTTATAATTATGTTCGATATTATGCTATGAATTTTAATTTATAAACCCTTTATATTTATAAACTTTATAATTATGTTTGATCGATGCACTGAACTATGGACATTACTAACCAAATTCTAACATTAATTTGCATTTGGGTTTCTTTTTTTGTTCTGTTTAAGCGAATATGTAGTCTGTCACCATGAAGGAGAATTATTATATGTGTTTTTTGATATCATAGCTTGAAAATTACATTTCTTTTAAGGAGTTACTTTTCTATTACTTTTGCTATTGTTATACGGAGTCATCATGATTGTCTTTCTTGTTATTATTCATCATCATCAAGGTTATCTATATAAGTTAGCTGATTGGTGTGTACATTTCCTTTCGTGATTTTTTTCATCAGGTCTGTCATCACGCCGGCATGTTTACAGTATAAGTGGATACCGGATATCAACAACCCTCCCGATTTGTTGAACCAGGTTCTGCTCCTGGCTCGCTCCAACCACAGTGCTGGCAAAAAATATACCCAATGGTATCATGGGTTAGAATCCCCTTGCCGTCGATCATAAACTCAGAATTACGTCGGATGTTCAACAGCGGTTATAAAATTGTAAGATAAAATCTCCCTAGAGTTAATGTGTGTTATTTCCTTCCCCCCTTATTCTTTCTCCCTAATAGGCTGCGGAATGGTATGCTAAAAATTTCTAATGTCTTTGTCAGTATGTCACATGTGTAAAATTGGCAATGTGTTGTACTTCTGGAGTCATGTTAACAGTTATAGACTTCAGATCCAATGGAAAACATTTTTTACATTTCATTTCAATGAACCTTTTCAATCATATCACTAATGGTTACAAAGATAATAAGACTAATGGTTACAAGGAAGAGGGGAATATCTAAACTACACTTTTTTGGATGTGCTTAACTGTAGTTAATATTCAGAGATTTGGTGTAGGGGGGAGGGGGTTGGCTTGTTTTTGCCATCAAAATTAAACAAAATCAATCAAAATTTGCCATCAAAAGAAAACAGGGTCTATTCAATCCTTAAACATCTTTAAAAATCTGAGCAAAATTAAAAAAACAAATGTTTTTTTTTTTAAATTAGTAATATTTTCCCCATTACTTTACATTTCCAAATAAATGTATCCTGTCAAATTTTAATGTTAAAGTAAAAGCTAGTAAAAAGGAACTTATAACTTCTTAGTGACAAGATTGACACCATTTTTTAGAAATAAAAAAATTAAGAACTGTGCAAGCCTAAAGGTAACGAGAAAATATATGTAATATAGCGAATCTCAATGGTAGAAGAGGATAAAAAAATTACATGTTTTGCCGAAGTTGTATCCTGGCACTAGCAGTTGTTTTTGTATTCATTGGGGTCTTCATTATGTTTGTATTCATAAAAGATGAAAATTCTCCCATGCATCTCACAGTTCAATTTTGTGATATTTCAGTTTTTATGTGTCTAAAAAAAATTATGTAATTTGTTTCATATTAGTAGATTTTTTTTCTATCTACTATGTTTTCCAAATTTTTCATGTTTGTATTTTTTTATAGGTTGCAAAGTTTACAAGAGTATTCTTGGTTTATATTCATGGAAGAAAATACTAATATTCACCTAGATAATTTGATTAAATTACTCTCTAACTATAATAAATCTGAGGTATGTATCATCTTGTAAAACTGTATTTGAATTATATTTTAAAATTTTATTATTTTTGATTAATAAAAGTATATTACAGTCTTTGTCTGGAATGTATAACCCATCTAGCTTTTTGGTTTGATAATTGAATTACCTTTAATATTATTTAAAATATATTAAATAGTAAATAAAAAGGGAAAACAGGAAGTTTTTTTTCTGTCATATACTGCAACAGTCACTGATCTAGTTTAACTTAGCTTTTTCAAAATACTGGGTTGTAACCTTTTCTCTTTTTAATTTTTTTTCAAACTTTGTTTACAATGTGGCAAAATGTAATCTCTTGTGAATCTATGCAAATAAATTATAAGAAAATTTTTTTAAAAAAATTTAATTAAAAAAAAATGTATTCTTTTAATAATTGAAAAAAAAGTTAAATGAATAAAAGTTAAGTAAAAAAGTTATGCTTTCAAAAATAAAATATGCTTTCAAAATTCCAATCACAACCATCATATTATTCTAATACTTTACTTTAGCTATAAATTACATTTGAGTTATAAATTATATTACTTTTTGTGGTTAATATCATCTTTTTAGTTTTCTGTTCATATGTTTATAGATATATANTATATATATATATATATATATATATATATATATATATCATTGTAATTTGCTTCGTGTTCTTAGGGTTATATTTTGTTCAGATTTGTTTTGTCTTAGATTTTATTTACTTATTTTGTTTATTTTTATTATATGCATCCACTTAGAAAATTTATTGTACATTTATAAGTCAGTCATATTATTTTCAAGCAGAATCTAATAACATCCTGAATTTTCATAATTACAGCTTTATGTTAATGTTTGCCCTCAATGTGATATTTTTTGGCACATATTTGTATCTCACAATTTAAAAATGATTGTAAAAATGATATTTTTCCCATGGAAATTGGTCTAGTAACAATTCTTTTTAAAATATTTTCAATTTTTTTTTTATTTTTCATTTCAAATAGCGCATATAAATGCTTTTTATTATAGTATTTTATGTTTATGAATAAGATTTATAATTGATTAATTAAAAAATTATATAACCAGTTGCAAAAATCAAAAAAATTTAATAAAGTCAGCATGGAAAAGTTAAAAAAAAAAAAAATTTCTGAGTGTTTCTGTCCACCATGCATGAGCAGCCTATAGAAAAATACTTAAAATAAAACTAAGCATTAAAATCAACAGACAAACTTTTTGCCATAGTTCGAAATGCATTTTTCATTTACTATGTTTTAGGATGTATTTGTTGGACATGCTTTAGTTGATGAAAACCCTACTATTATTCATCATTTTGCAGCAGTAGAAGATTCTGCCCTCTCTTATCCACATTTTTCAACCGGTTTCTTTCTCAGTTCCACATTAATCGACAAGTAAGATCACTTCTTCTCACACAATTGATTTCAATTTTTGGTTTTCAAAAAAGTTTTATGTATCATGTTTGTTCATTCAATAATGACGCTTATAGTAGCCAAGCTCGTCAGCAATTGGCCTTTTTGTGACTTAAATGAGGAGGTTGCACCTTTTGTTTGACAAGAGAGCAAGGCAAGGGTGAAAGTATGTCTTAGCACAGAACCCCACAGATAGATGGCAGCACCACATACTCATGAAGCCACTTCCTCAATTTAGACTTAGGTCTGAATGGGAAGGAAATTTTCTCCAAATCCCTGTACCCATATTTTTTCTCAGCAGCCGACCACAGGATTTTTTCCCCCACAGATTTTACAAGCATGTATGTTGCTTAATAGAGAACCAAAATTCAATTCTCTAACCACCAGGCTACCGCGGCCCCTTTTATGTATCATAATTTAATAGTTTAAAAATTTTGATATTTCTATTGCTTTTAAGGAAAATTTTCCATAATTTAAATTTAGGGTTATTTACTCTTTTGCTCTGAAGTTACTGGGAACTCCTGATTATATGTGATTTTGTCCTGAGATAAAGTTTGAAGCAAGTACAATGTTTAAATATTATATATTATCCTTTTTGTTCAAGAGTAATTTTGCTTCTTATTTAAAAAGATTATAAAATCTTTTTTTCATTGATAAATATTCTTTATCTTATTTTATAACTGACATTGAACGTATTTAGGTTCACTATCAGTGTTCAACTTGTAGCCTGGTAATTTTTAACCCAACCCGTAAGATAATGGAACTCTTTGATCATTCATTGAGACAAACTAGCCTTCATAAATGTCTTTTTTTTAATTAATTAGCATTACGTAGAGAGAGAAACCACAAAAACTTCTGGCAATTGACTTGGCGGCAAAGGGATTCTTACCCCGTGATCCACTTATTCTTGGGAATGTTTTGCATCAGCATTGTGAGGGATGTAAGTCGGGAGCAGAATCCAAATTGACCATTCATCGCTGGGATTTGAATCTTAGGCGCCTCATTGGGAGGTAAACACTATGTTGTCCCCTGAGTCATTGTAGCTGTGATAAAAAAAATTTTTTAGAACCAGTGAAAAAGACATGATAGAACATACAAGTAAATCCGTTTATTTGTTGTGTTTGGCTGCCCAATGTCTCAGATTATCAGTTCTCTATGTACAAAATATGAATAATAAGACAAAAAACAAAAGTGGTAGCTCACAGTGTGCCTTTTTTTTTTTTTTTTTACGCTAGCTTACTTGCAAAAATTATTCAATTTTAAGTTTATATTTAGAAATATATATATACTAGGAGGCTTCGCCCCCTGCTCGCTGGTGCTCGCCAACCCCCGGAACTGCTTTCGCAGTTCATTTCGGATTGCTTCGCAATCCGATGATCGCTTTACTCGCTCATTGGATACGTTCTTAACGTCTAGCTTTTGTATACTTATTTGAACACTGAAGTTCCGAAAACTTTTCACTGTAGAAAATTCTAAACCTGTACATTTCAATATTAATTTGAAATTGCAAACAGTTCACATATTTTTCTTAATCACACTATTCTAAATTTCAGTTGTTGAGAAAAGTAACTGTTGTAAGTTTTGTTTTAAAGTCTTTCCCAC